TAAGCCGATGGCAGGGATTCAGGTTGGGCTCACTTAGTGCTCCGTGTTTTTCCTTTTAAATGGTTGCCTTTAGAGTAATGATAATAATCAGTTGAGATAGGCTGCTCTGCCTTGTCTTTTCTATTTTGGAGAAGCACAGGAGAAGAAAAAAATAAAAGAAGGAAGGCCTTGGCATGAGGGCTGCCTACAACACTTTTATCTGGAGCRTGTGACAGCTGGGCCAGCAAAGCTGCTCAACGGGGGCAGATCCAAATTCAGTCGGGCGGTCACCGTGGAGGATGTTTTCACATAGCGGAAACGTGGGATGGGGACAGACCACCCAGGCTTGGAATGACATTGCATCAGGGTAGGGAGGGGGTTACCAAAAGCCACTGCAGTCCCAGATGACAAGAATACTGAATATTTCAACTTCCCATAATCATCTAGTGACTACAGGGTGGGAATTTCAATTCTTCGCACTTATTTAGTGAGTGTAAAGGAGACGGGGAGTATTGCATTTCCTTACAGGTATTTAGTGAACATAGAGGGTGTTTCAYTCCTCTTTGGGGTGGAAGACCCCAAATAGTCAAAGATCTATTTGGGGATAGTTATCTCCAAAGATAAGGTGGGGAGGTTAGGGGCTGGAGGTGTTGGAGCTGAGGGTAAGCCAAGGGTGGCCATGTCTTGACCTCAGTGCCAAGATGAAACACGGTGATCTTCCAAGAAAACACCAAAATGCCAGGAGCAGAAGCTAGTGCCTGCCCTGAGGCCAGGTAGGGAAGGGAGCAGGAGAGGCTTGCAAAAGTGAGAAGCCCAAAAAAACACCTTCAAACATCAAAATTGGCCTCTACCCTCCAATGGTCCACAGGTCAGGGCTTAAAACACAAGGCTTTCTGTGTGGCTAAGAGGTCTCCAAGCCCCTGGTTTAGCAGCAAAATCTTAGCCAAGCTAGAGAACAGTCAGTAGCACCAAAGGACAGCAGAAAAACTCAGCCACCTGGGATGGGATGGGCACTGTGGACAGGGCTCCCCGGCTTGCAGAATGGAGCAGCCCCATGTGAATCTTTCTCAGCGTCTTTGGTGGAGAAAGTAAGGAGAAATGTTGGCTTGCAAAGAGGAAGAACCTGAAATACCTCCAGATTTATCTGGGGGAGGAGCAGCCCGCAGGCACAGAGAGCTCCCAAAGTGCCTCATCTCCTTGTGTCTTTAGGGTGTTAAATCCTTGTCTGCCTTTGCTCTACTCAAGGTTTTGTTGCTAATATCTGACTGAAGGCCAGKGCTCGACACATCAACACTTGGGGCAAAGCAGCTACAGAAAGGGCAATATTGCTATTAGAACCATGAGTGGTGGCACTGCTGATGCTGGCCAGGTCCAGGACAATCCTGATACACTGTGTCCAGGTTTACTGACAGCTCTGGCCTTCAGAGGCCTTCCAGGGAGCAGAATTGGAGGGACTGTTTCGGTAACAGGGTTACCTCCAGACCTGCAAAGCAAGGCACAGGGCAGCAAAGTGTGTTTGCCCAAGTCKTTCCTCACTTCAAGGTGGTGAGGAACCCCAAGAGAAAGCGCATCCCAATGGAGCAACAAGCAGCAGCCTATACAGTGAGTCCATTAAAAAATAGCAAATAAAAGTGTTGTTTTTAGCCCCCCTACATGAGTGAAACCTCTTGGGAAATCGCTGATTTTGGCTAGTGAGAACAGAGAGCAAGGCCACCAAGTAAACCCCTTCTTGCAAAGGGGGTGTCCTATGTCCATGTTAGTATCTCCCTCCCATGTTGATGCAACTTCAGACTAACTCTGCTTCTTTTTTTCTCCCCCAAGAAATATCACAGGGGAAAACTAACTCCTGACTTGGAATTACATCATTATCACTAGTTAATCACACAGCCAAAGAAATGTCCCATGTGGCAGCTGACAAGGCAAATCTGAAGAGCACAGAGGGCTACGTTTCCTAATGGTGCTTAAGTGACGCTGAAGTCAGATACCCAAACAGTATTTGAGGGGACAAGAAYCTCTTCAGGCTGTGAAGGGACCCAAACTTGCAGGAGGTTTCAGGCAGCCACATTAGGAAATCCCACGATAATCCTGTCTCAGCTTCTGGCCAGCACCTTCACATCTGATGCCATTATCTGACTGCTTCAGGTTTGCTTTTTATTCCCCTGCCCTTGCATTACACTGATTAAAAAAAGGCTTGAGAAATAGATTGAAGCTCTGAAGATGAAATTACAGTTGGAAGGAATCATTAGGAGGCCTTTTCAAATGTCAGTGCAGGGAATGGGAAGCGTGGACCTAAAGGCTGGTTTGATAAATAAGCCAGAAAGCTGCCACCACCAATCAGCGGTTCAATGAACACACACGATCACTCCTCTTATTTCTCCTTCCTCTTCCTATTTCCTACCAGTTGCCCTGGAAACTCCTTTGTTACATAATTCACAGGAGCAAACTCCAACAGAAGCAAGCCCAGTCAAAACGGCTCCATGATGGCTAAAGCTCCCTGCAAAGAGATGCCATAAATTGGTTATTTCAAAATAAGCCTTTTCTGTGCAAACCTGCTGCAGCTCCAGCTACCCCTCCCACATGCTCGTCCTGCAAAGACTGGTGGATGAGCCCCTGCTCAACCTCATGCTGCACGGTGGACCTGAGTGGCTTCATCCTCCTGGACTTCCTTGGGCACAGAGGGATGGTCACAATGGCATGAGCCATCTCCAAGTGTGTCCTTCACGCAAGGACCATACTCATTATTCCTCCTACACGGGGATGGTTTTGCAAGGGGATAACACAAAATCTGCTGGAGGTCTGAAGAACCTCTCATGGGTTCCCAGCTGCTTTTCAAACCAGAGACCYGAGCTTGCTCTTAACCCTGTTGGATGGTTGTGTTAATCCCCAGCAGAGCAGACTCTACCTGGGCCAGGGGAGAGGTTAACACATCGCCCCAGGGTGCAGAACAAGCCATCCCCACATTGGTGCATTGTCCCATAGGGCACAAACACCCTGGGGGACGGACGCAGTCCTGAGAACGGCAGGTTTTGTCCTGGGAAACGTGGTTATCTAGAGTTTGGATGCAGTTCTCACACCTCTGGCCCAAACCTACCCCAACTTGAGAGCTAGCCAGACCAGACCAGCTGGTGGCTCAGGTGGCCTTGAGGTAGGACACAGTTCAGATGGGCATCTCAGAGACCTGCTCAAGATRATGACAGGCAGCCTGTACCCTGCATTATGCCTCCAGGCTGTCAATCCTATCCAGTTGCTTATATTCTCCCAGGCAGCAAGATCAGGTTTTGATGAGGTTTGCAGCTCCTCACACCTCACACCTCCCACATCCAGCAGGCCCAGGAAATACCACCTAGATGCAAAGCAGGATGAGCCCTCAGCTGCTCTCACACACATCCCCTGCACACCAACAGTGGCACAGGCCAAGGGACAGGAGATCAGGTTGGGAATGCAAAGGACAGATCTAGATCTGTATGGAAAAAAGATAATTTTTGTACATATATTATTTGCATAAACCAAATAAATTATATACATATACATTAAAGTGCTGCTTGAGGTCAAGCACCAGCAAAGTGGGAGAGACATGGCCAGAGACAAGACCAGCGCAGAGGTCCAAGCAAATAAGGCAGCAATGACCAGGCACTTCTAGGGTAACCAAGCATTTGCGAAATGTAGTTTAAATCAGGCTGGTTGTGCCCAAGTGCGGTTGATTTAATAAGTCAGTACATGCATTTCCATATGCGTGTTTCTCTTTCCTTGCWGGCAGAATGACAGCAAGTGACACTGCTCCCAAAATGGGGATAAAACAGCATTTGGACAGGGTGGTGCTGAGCTCCACCAAAAATACCTTTAACCCTGGTGTATGCCAGGAATACAAGTCATGCTCACTATTTCTTGGCAATGCTTTAAACAACGGTTGCAGCCACTGAGATCTCCTTCCTAAAGGAGGAGGATGCAACTCCCAGCACTGCTAATAAAGGATCCTGCCATTTTGCACTCTATTTCTCTCTATCAGGGGTATTTCATTTGTCCATGTGTTGAAAGTTTAATCCTGTACCTATGAATATTCCCAGAGAATGAATTTTCAATGCCAGGCAAAGGAAAAATACAGCACCAAGGTCAGCAGAAAATACTCTGTGGATCTAAGTATATGAAGCAACAGTATTATAAAATGGAAGCATTTGTGAAGCATTTGTCCCATTAAGGTTTCCATACATAGAACAGAATAGCACAGAATGTCTTATTTGGAAGCAGAGATGATAAGTAAGGACATCAATAATGTAAGAGGGCAATAGAAATGCTGCAACTACAGACCTTTGCTTAGGAGGGAATCAGGGCAGCAGCTGCATCCTGGGCAAATTAATACTTCAGTTTCCCAGATGTCTGCAAAGCCTTTTACAGAACTGCTCTAATTGAGAAAAAAAAATAAAAAGGGCAATCCTAGAGGTTCAAAGTCATGTTTACAACATAAGGCAGCTATATCATTTTTTGCAAGCTCAGCATAAGCTAAAGGAGAGACATCTCTCTTCCTACATCGACCAAATCCTGAAATCCCCCTTGCCCTCTCAGGCCTGGGGTCCCCATTACCACTGCCTCCCCCGAGCCAAGGCAGCTGCTAAGSAGATTAACACAGAATCATGTCAAGTAACAAACACCTAGTATTTATTAATAAATTAGTACACTGGAAGGCAATGTTTCATTTCATTCCCCTCTTCCCCCCAACTCCCACCCCCTGCCCCAAAAGGTAGCACATGCCACCCTAATATCATAATTTCTTCAAATTGAGCATATAACAGACTGTTCATTACGGGAGCATAATAGTTGCAAATATAATCAGACAGACTTCTTACGATGCAGCTTTTTTTTTTTTCCTCTTTTCATTTAATAAAAAGTGAAGTGTGATCTGAAGAGACTATCGAGACCAGGTAGGGCCTTCAGGACCTACTGGCCATGTCTGTATATAAAAAAAACCAAGAGACACAAGTGTAAAAGCATAGCTTGGTAAGTCTTACACCACAAGGAGAGCAGTACCACCAGCAGTTGCCTTCACCTCCCAAAGTCCAGCACCAGTGCTGATTGCAATGAYTGATTCAGGGCCTGCTGTTCTCTTAAGTGGCAAGGCAAGATATTCCTCATTTGGGTTACATTCGACCGCAGGCAAAGGACCGTTTTATAATCTTGAAGGTTGGTGGAACTGAACCTCTTAATTTCATTAAAACACTTCTGTTTTAGCTTATAGGAGCACAACGCGTTGTCCAGGTGAAAACCATACAATAAATAACCGTGCTAGTAAAATTTCAGCAATGATTATGAGCTATACAAGAGTACATTAAAAAAGTCAACTTGGGGGAAGCTAGGCGCATTAGAGAAGGTAAGAGCAACAATCAGTTTTGCATGGTTTACCATTTACCACTCCAAGGCAGAGGGGAGGTAGCAGGAGAGAGCCATTCAGAATAACAGTTTTGACAGAACTGAAATGTGTTACAGAGCAATCCCCGATTCAATGTATAAGTTACACCAGATTTGTGGTCTTCTAGTTCATTAACTGCATTTTAAAGTGCATCGACTGATCTGATTGGAAGGAGAGCAARAAAAGAAAGACTCGGAAGGGGGCAGAGGGTGCAAAGACTTTAATTGAGCAATAGTTAAGKTTGAAAGGTGCAATGCTCACAAACTGTCCCCCTCCAGAAACCAAGGACACCTCGAAGAAAATACTGGCCATGTATTCTACAACAAAACCTGCCTGCATATTGTCGATCATCTTAATGAGTGCCAAGCTAGTTCTAGCAGATATTCGAGAGAGTGCGTGGTGACCAATGCCTACAGTAAGTCGGGAAGGTGGCTATAGACAGAGTCCAGGAGGGTTTGGCTGGCTTCCTGGCTCTTGACTCCGGCGATCTCAAATAGCCTGTCCAGCTTGTCCTCGGCTTGCGGGATCTCCTCGATCACATGGAGCTCCTCGGGGTTCAGAATGTGCAGCATGTCATCAAAGATGGGCTGCAGGTCGCAAGGGTCCAAGCGCACCTGGCGCAAGACTGTGTCCTTCTTTTCTGTGGGAGCAAGGAGARTTAGGGTGTTAAGGGGCTCTTCAGAAGACCCCTGCTGACTAGGACTTATCAATAATTTAATTAATTTAACTTGTGATAATTTACCACAAAGAGACACCAAGAAAAAGGAGAGGGGCAGCATGTGCTGGGCAGGGGAGAAGATAGAGAAGATAGAGCTGCAGCAATGCTGTAGTGCTGCCTAACGCAGAATCCTGCTGTGGCAAATACAGCATTTAGAAATGCTGAATGGCCAATATTAAAAGCTAAGGAGAAGGGTGGAAGGGAGCCAAAAAAAGGCTGAATATTTTGAGTTATTTTCATTGGATCAGGTTCGTTTCTGTACCAAAGTATAAATGAGGCAAATTAGTTGAGCTTCATGTTTCACCTTCAGCAAAAGTTAAAGATTAATCACAGCAAATTAAATGCAGTAAATTAACTTCCCTCAAAACATGGCAAATTAACAGTGATTTACACTGCAAGTCACAACTGCAGTAGGYATGACAATGGGTGAGAAATCCATCTTGAAACCATGTTTTTCCGCTTTAAACTCAAGCAATAAGSCCTGGGAGGGAGGGACTTCACTCCTACAGGAATCATGATAACCCAGCACCATGGGCTAATGTCAAAGGAGAAACCCTCTCTTCTTCTGCAAGGGAAGCTGCAGACACCTGAGGACACTGCACTTCTCCAGCAGCATTTAAAAGGGTTAAAAATCTTTAAAGGCATCTAATCTCTCTTATGTTCCCTACCTGGATATTGGCAGAATCACAGAATGGTTGAGGTTGGAAGGGACCTCTAGAGACCATCGAGTCCAACCCCCCTGCTCAAGCAGGGACACCCAGAGCACAGGGCACAGGGTGGCATCCAGGCTGGTTTGGGAGATCCAGAGAAGGAGACTCCACAATCTCCCTGGGCAGCCTCTTCCAGGGCTTTGTCACCCTCACAGTCAAGAAGTTCTTCCTCATATGGTGATGGAACTTCCTGTGTTTCAAGTTAACACCCATTGCCCCTTGTCCTGTCCTGCCACTGAGAAGAGACTGTGATTCCACCACTGAGAAGAGATTGTGTTCATCACCTTGAATCAGGATGCCATAAAGCGTACGTGGAAGGTCCCTTTTCCCCAGCTATCCACCCTAGGGACGTGACGGAGCCACTGTTCACTAGGTGGCTCCATGCGTGCGGGTCGCAGGCAAGGCCCRTGAGGGACCCTCAGGATCTCATCCTCCCACCCTCCCCCGCACCCCATGGTCGGTACCTTTGGTAATGAAAGAGCCCGTCCGGCTGAGCGCCGAGGAGCCGCTGGACGTCGAGTCGCAGCGCAGCAGGGGCTCCGACTCGTCCACAAAGAAGCACTTCTTCTCCGAGGGAGAGGGCTCCACGGTGAGGGCGGCCGCCTCGGGGGGCTTCGGCGCAGGGTTGGGCGCGGGGCTGAGCGGGCTGGGGCTCACCGGGAGCGCCAGCTTGTCAGGTTCCAGCTGCAGAGAAGACGTTGGGAGAGGTGACCCATGGGGATATTATGCGGCGACCTCGTGCTCAACATCGCCTGTATCCCGCTGGGAATCAGGCGCAACACTAGCTCTGGGGCTTCCAAAGCCATCTGATCCTCTCCTTGGGAACAACCTGTCCCGTGCAAGTGCCATCTGTGGAGAGTGTCCTCCAARTTAACCTGCAGTTGTTGATCCCCAAAGCCCCCTTCTCCAACCCAGTGCCCCACAAAACAGGAGCCAGAAGAGAGTCAGAGGTGGAAACCATTGCTGCCATTCAGCACACATTCAACAGCTGTGCGAGCAAAGTGACCTGCACTCTCAACAGTACAACACACACAACCACAGGAGAGTATTTTCACTGAAGTTTAACTGTGGAGGACTAACAGCCATGATTATCAAGCAGATGACCCTCCTTCCGGCCTTCCCAAGAGCATCCCAGTATTTTCATAGACCAGACTGCTGGGTATGGACAACTAGCTTCAACTCAATCATATCACAACACCCCTTGTGCTTGCAGTAAGGGCTGGTGAAGGTTAGTGTGACCCTCTCCTACTCTAGACATGCCCTAGACATGCTCTACCATCCCCTACACATGATCTGAGAAGGGTGCAAGACCTTGAGCAATCCCCCAGGCACCACTTTGGCCAGGACGCATGTTCCCCCACCAAAACCTCTGCTCAGGAGCTCACATCCCATTGCTCCCACTAACACTGCTACACAGGTCAAGCAGGAGATTAAAATTGTTCCCATATTTATCATTTCACAAGCACAAAACATAGCAAAGTTGGAAGGTGAAAGGCGCAGCACCCCTTGGTTATTTCCATTTCAGCACGTTTGGTTTAGGAGAGCAGCGCTGCTGAACCATCTSCAAGGGTCTATGACGCCAGTTGTCCACGTGTCACTGGGAGTTAAGCTTCCTTTGGGGCACAATGCTCTGGATTACATCCGCCCTGCGACGGTACCAGTGCGACCTAGAGGGATTTGGCTGCCAACATGCCCGAAGGRCAGAAACAATGTCGCCACACATCCCCTCAGAGGCACTTAGGTGAGCACAGCTTAGCCCGTTTTTCCATGTCAAGCCACGCTCCAAGTTAATAATTTGTTTGACCCATCCTGTCCAGGCTCCCGTAAGTACAAGGTGAACATGTAACTCTGTCCCACTTGACCTGAAGGTCAGCAAGAATAATCGTGACAGCATCAGCTCAGGGCCTTCGGTTTGGCCCAGTTATCACCAACCCAATCACAAACCCAGTGCCCTTCTAAGCCTCTCAGCATCACTTCTGGCATGACAAACCCCAACAATACAACATTTCTGGTTTCCACCATTCCACACAGGCCTCCAAGAGAGGCAGACCTGGCAAAATACCATGGGCCAACACCTCTGACACTGCTGCAGGAGTCCTGCCATCTCCTGCTCTGGGTAGATTGCTCCAAGCAGCACCTGAACCTTTAAACTCTTCCCCTCCTTACCCCATCTGTCCAGGAGTAGCATYACGAGCCATTCCCACCCGCAACAAACTTTCTCCCAATCTCTAGGCAGTACCGGAGAGCAGAGCACATTCCAAGTACATATCCCAAGGGAATCCATCTCAGATTCTCTCCGCGTCGCTCTTCCGCACTCCGGGGCGCATATGGGTATCGTGGTGCATTCCTCATCCACCCCGAGGAATTTGCCACCCACAGAGGGTGTGGGTGGCCTCACGTGTCCACTGAGATGCCCAGTGGTTCCCATTAACTTCACATTTCAGCCTGCTCGTGGCCGAATAAAAGTTTTTTGTGGTTTTTTTTCAGATGAAAATTAAAAGGGAGGATTTGTTCTGCCTCGGCGTGTTATGTAATAAGCATGGCAAAAACACAAACCAGTGTTAATTCTTAATTAAAAGAATCTGCATCCTCCTCCAAAACTCCCTTCTCAATACAATTCATCGACAAGAATTAGGCTGTTGTCATTAACGGGGAAGAAAGCAGCAAGTGAAGAGCCAGAATAGCAACTGGATGCTTCCCAAGCGGCAAGACGCTGCGATTTCCCCTTTAAAAATAAACACACTTTCGAGGTTAGTTTTTCCCCATGCAATCCATCCATTTACTCTCCAGCTCGCCATTTCCAAAAAGGGCCTCATCAACATGGAAAAAGTACCTGGAGGGTATGAAAAACCCCCGCTGCCCTTGCCTTGCCTTCCAAGCAAAGGGAAAAACACTTCCCAGAAGAAGCAGGCCAGTTATWTGGCGTTTAATTAAACAGCTGCTAAAGCACTCTAGAAAATCACCTCGGGTTATTTCTCGACTGTAGGCGTCCTYGGAGCTCAGAGCATTCCAAAGAGCGGAACATTTGTTAGTTTATTAAGCAAAGTAAACAGGATGCTTGAATGGGTGTTAATATTTAAACTGAGGGAAGAAAGCAAAGAGGAGCACGGCAGGGTTTTGAAAGGCTAGGGAAAGTAAAAGGTTGCTTTGAGGTAAAGCCTGGGGAATAGGTGCAAAAACACTATTAATAGCGTGTGACTCATTTGCTTGAAACCACTGTGGCATTAATTTTTTAATTTTTTTTTAGGAACTCCAATGCTGGAGCAAAGCGATGGGAGCGCCGATGCAGGGGGAAGGAGCCTCCTGCCTGCAGTGCTTTTGCAGCACCGATCCCCGAGGGCTGCGGGGCTGATGGTGGAAAGCCAGTGATGTGGAGCTCCTCCAAGGCCAGGCTTTCTGCAGATACCTTCTTTCTCACGCGGTGAGCCCTGTGTTCACCACGGAGGCTCTATCTGCAGATACACAGGGGGGTCCTTAGGTGCATCGCATGTCCCAAGCAGAACAGGACTCCCTGGGCCTGTCCCCAGTGGGGGAAGACCCGCAGTGCTGTCACCTGGCAAGAAATTGATGGTTTTCAGCCCAAAAAACAAGGCACATAAGAGCTCTGTCGCATCAGCAGCCTCCAGGGCTCTTGGCCAATATATTTTTTTTTTTTTTGATCGCTGCAGTAAGAGATTTGCAAGGCTAAAAAGAACCCTTAAAGGCTCCTGTGTATTCACAGCCCTTTAGGATGCCAGCCCCAATGGCAACATTTTGGTTCCTAAACGCAGCCTGGGTTTGATCTGGAAGGGCGCTCTAAGCRGGAAGACTTGAGCAGGCTCTCCCTAAAGCCTTTCTAGAGGGAGAAAAGGGGACGGATGCCAAAAAAAAAAAAAAAAAAGGATGAAAGGACGTAGACTTTTAACTCCTTTGAACTGCCGAGTCTCTTATCCTGGTTAGAAAGGGCTTGTCTTAACTTTATTGCATGTCCATAAAAGCCCAACCTGTATAAACAAACTGCCACGACTGCACTCACATTCAGAAGGATCAGTTGTGGAAATCAAGAAATAATTAAAAAACCCTCCTTGAATGAAACGCCCCAGTCGTTCTTCCCGCAATAACAGTGGCGAGAAGAGTCGTTGGGATCAAACAGCACAACCCAAAGCAAAGTTCTCAGCGCGGCTCCCAGCAGGTCTCTCCAGCTGGAGCTGCACCCGTTCAAAACAGCCCTTGAGAGTCGTTTGTCAGCCTGACGCGCCGACCTCGAGAGCGGACGGCGGTGACGAGGGACGCGCTCGTGGCCACGGCGGCGGCTCAGGGAGCCCCGAATGCTGCTGGGGACGCAGCAATGGGGCTGTGGACGCRCAGGCTTCGCCTGCGGGCGCCCGGGGGCAGATAGCAGAGGAGCGGTTTGGGCCAAGCTTGGCGCCTGCCAACCCCGCTCGCGGCCCCGGATGCCCTTTCTCCTCCCTTGACCGCAGCAGAGCTGGATTGGGCAAGCAGAGTGTCCTGCGGCTACTCCTAGGCCTCTCCTTAAGCCCAGGAGCAGCATTTAAAGGCGCTGGGCAGGGAGCAGGCACAGCTGTGAAATACTGCAGACCATCAACTGCACCAAGGCGGGGATCTTGCAAGAGCCCCCGTGTGCGCCGGCGGCCACTGAGCGCTCTCGTGTTGACACTAACCCCAGGCCCACCATATCCCAACCTCCCAAGAGCCTTCCCAGAAGAAATAATAATAATAACAATAATAAWACAGAAGGGTTTTGCAAGCAAAATGGCAGGGAGCTGGTACGTGGGCGGGTAGGTTTTCTTGCCTAACACCAACGAAACGGCTGCTGCTTTTCAGAGGGGGGATTAGTGGAGGCTGCAGTCAGAGGAGAAACCTCTCCGGAGGGAGGCTGTATGGTCACCAGGTCAGCTGGACACGCCGTTTGCTGCGTGCCATTTTGGAGGGGTTATATTTAGCCCTGAAGTTGCCACCTCCCAGCTGTCTAGATGACACAGCTTGTGCCAGTTCTATTTTCAGGCTCCTTACGTCTCCAAACGGGACCCTGGAGTGGTGAAAGGAGGAGGAGTGCTGGGGAAGGCTCGCACTGCCCAGGAACGCCTGCACAAGGAAGACCTGCCTGGATGAGCAGCTCTGTGCTCCTCTAGCAGCRCTTTTTTCCATTAAATGGGATTGCCACCTCTGATGAGCTCTTTCGGTGGATGTGTCCAGATTACCTGTGACAGCAGGGRCGGATGGTGGGGTGACCGAGCGGGTAACGCACCAAAAGTGATGACAAATCTCGTGCAAAGCCCCTGCAAGCAAGTCCCTGCACAGTATCTTACAGGAAGAACCCACGTGGAGCATTCCCTGGCAGTCCTCCATGTTTCAGCAACACAGACAGTCTCTGTGTCGCTCCTTCACAGCACTGTTGTGTTTGGGGGATGCCATTTATGGCCAAACGGTCTTCTGAAGACAAAACATCCTTTACCCAGACACAAAGTCTTACAAAGGCTGTGGAAAGGCCAAGTCTACGTGTTCTGGAGGAACAYGAGGAGAACATGAAACCCCTAAACCAGATGGATGGGAAGGGAACCCTACCAGGACAGGTCACTGCCTGCACCTCGGATGGTGCCAGGGACACACTGCAGCTAAGATGCCACCCAGGTGTAGCACCTCTCCTCCTTCACTGCCAGCCTGTGTCCATCCCTACATTGACC